TTTTTTTTTTTTTTTTTTTTTTTTGCCACATTTGCAAATTTCAAAAAGCCAACGCTATATTTGCAATTTTACTATTGTCTTTTTCTATTTTTGCAACTATCCCTTGAAAAAAAAAAATAATAAATTACAAATTTGGTTATATTATTTCGAGTTATTCTACATTTTTAATTCCCATAGTAGTTTTAATTTGATTTGTATAATTATTGTATAATTTTAAATTAAATTAAATTTGGGTCGTAAGATACAATCCTATTTAAATCAAGTGATAATGATCCAATTGAATTTAAGTAAAATATATTTCAGTTAAAATATTTTAAAATTTCTCCCCTTTTAAAAAATTAAAATTTTGAATTAACATAGCAATTTAAACATAATTTAACAATAATTGAGGTGGATAATAATAAATAATTAATTAAGAGGAAAAATAAATAAAGCTATTTGCACGTTGAAATTGAACAAGGTTAAAAAATGGAATGTGCGACCGGGTTTCAAAATTTGAAGTTGGAAAAGTTGAGACCGTGCTGTGAAAGTAATAAATAATAAATAATTATTATTTTCCTCATGGGTCCCACACTCGAAGTTCCTCGGATCTGAATGGCTTACGTGGGAACTTTATCAAAACGCAGTCGTTTCAACAACCCACTGTTCTGAACATCGTCGTTTTCTTGCCCTCCTTCATCGTAACAGAAACCGCTCCCCCGCCGAATTGCGCCCCAAGCTACCATCCCCATCAGCTAAAGAACAAACCCAAATCTAAGCAAATTCAAACTTGATTTTCAAGGCAATTTCATGGAATGAGAAGAGGTTAGAGTTCGAAGCTGAAGTTTTGAGTTGAGTTTCGTTGATCTTTCTGTTCCGCTTCTGCTCCATCTGCTTAATCCGAGATCCAAGTTTTTATTTACTCAGCCATGGACGACGAACACCGGGTACTATTCTGTTCCGCATTTTCTCCATCTTTCACCTTCGTTCATTCCTTCAACAGACGCCCAACTTTACTTCTCTACTGATTTGATTTCTTTTTGTTTGTTTCTGATTCCTGATTTTCGAGTTTTTGAAGCGTCGGAAAGCATTGGATTTTTTTTGTTATTTGAATCTCTTTGAGTGTTTTCAGAAAACGGTGGCTCTCAAAAAGGCTTACGCTGACATAATTCTGAACACGGTGAAGGAGGCAGCGGCTCGCGTAATGGTATCCGAACGCAAAGCTCTTTGTCTCCAGCAGGATCTTTGTTCTGTCAAGGACGAGGCGCACAGGATGCTCCTTCGCTTGAAGAACATGATCGATTCTAAGGTAGTTTTTCTTTTAAATTTTTTTATTTTCACTTTGTCTTCTTCCTTCTTATTTGTTTTCAAATTTCAATGATTGTGTAAATTGTCTCAATGTCTCTTCTGGATAGGCTTATCGTATCATTATGTGTTTCTGATGGTTAGCTATCCACCTATGCTTTTCTACATTGTAATGGTACTGTAAAATTCTACTATGCAATGACATGTTCTTCGTCTTCATTTCTTGCTCGTATCAGACAATGGTTATTTTCCAGTTTGATTGTGTGTAAGAACGTGGTTACCTAAACACTTGAGAGTTTACTTCAAATCTTAAACAAAATTCATAAAAGTGCAGTTATCATTTTTTACTTTGCGAAATTCTGTATTAAATGTTGCATCATTATTACAGTAGCTACTTCCAACTGTTCTTTCTTATTTCATCCAAATGGTTATACCATTCTCATTTGCAGACGCGTGAAACAGAAATTGCATCATTATGTCACAGGAAAAAAGTTGAAGAACTTGAAGCACAATTTCATGGGGCAGAGGATGTGATAGCAGATCTTAGAATAAAGTTGAAAGAGGTGCAATCCCAGTTGGAGAAGGAGAAAAAAGACAATACTTTCTCCAGCCAGTCTACTCTTCAGCCGGATTCTTCCTGTCCGTTCTCATCAGAACTGCAAGCAGTCTCTTCTAATTTAAAGAACACAAAGATGGAACAGATAGCCCAAGCAATGTCCAAGAGTGTGCCAAAGTCTATCGAACAATCTTCTGTTTCTCAAGTGGACATTGTCCATTCTCATGATTCTGACTCTACCTCCACGGTAGTGAGAACTAAGGAGCATAGATTATCTAGGAAGAGATGCCCCCAGAGAATTCATGCACTAGAAAGGAATTTCCTGGATTATAGTTTATCTTCAGGTGTTGATGTAAAAGATAGCCAAGTCCTTGAGGAAAATGAACCTTTAGTAAAAAGAAGGGACAAGGAGGAAAGAGGCCTCTCAACCAGAACTGGAAAGACAGATATACGGAAGAATGTACATGATGCTGTGTTGAATAGATCTGTAAAGATCCATACATCGAGAAGGACGTCTGGCCCACATTTGAAAGTGGGTGACGTGAGTTCTGATAAAAGTGAGTATCAACCATCTCTGATGGCTGATAGTGGGAATGTGACACAAAATTCATGTTTGCCGGAGGAGCATAAAATTGATAGTTACAAAGATGCAAGTGGAAATTCTAATGGAGGTCAACCAAAAGGAAACATGAAAAGAGGAATTTTAAATGGTCACTTGCCTGATCAGCCAATCAATCCTTGCGATATGTCTGTTGTACTGTCTCCATGTAGGACTTCCATTAATCAAGTTAATGATAATGGGAAATCTGGTGAAGATCATTCCAACACGACTAAGCATCAGAGGAAGATGAAGAAATTAAACTGCTTGGATACCGGACTCACATCAACAGACAAGAAAATGATGATCAGATGTACTAGACAAAGCAAACGCAAGAGGGAAGCCATGGGCATTTCTGATGAAAATATTTCTCCTGGAAAGAGCAATGGAAAAAAGTGGTTGGGTGAGAAACTCAAATTTGAGTCCGAGTTTGAGAGGTCTGACTTGATCAAAGAATCAACGAAGGAGAGTCGACATCTGTCTCAAGTTGCTCGTCAGGTTGGTTGCATATTCTTCTCCCTTGCAATTTTGAACGTGTGATGAACTGATATAAGATGTTGAGACTTTATCTAGAATGGGGAACAGAACCCGTAAAGCATGCAATATTTGGGTGTTTTAAATGGTAAAAACTCCTATTAATGTTCCTTTAGGACCCGAAACCTGACTCCTGAATTGAGTTCAATATTTTCTTCTGGCATTAGCCCAAGTCAGCTTTTTGGCCGAGCAAGGTCAATCATTCTCTCGTTCACCTATGAAATACGACCAGGAAAAGGAAAAGCAATCACTTGACTTCGAACTGTTCGTAAGAGGCAGTTGGTTCCCGGGGTTGTGAGTTTCTATGATTTATTTTAGATTGTGCAAAGTAGGAGATTAGAATAAAAAATCTACTGACCAAACCAAATGCAAGTGTCGGTTGAGGATTGTATGGAGGGAGTCCCACATTAGCTAATTAAGGCCGGTTGGAAAAATCAAAAGTAAAGTTATGAGAGCTTATGCTCAGTATAGACTTTCATACTATTGTAGAGGTTCGTAATTCCTAACCGTTTCAAACACAAAAGCCAAACCAAGAACCCCACGCCCTTACCTAAACACCCCTCTAGAGTTGAGTTTTTAACATTCAACTAGAAAACCTCAATGTGAAGGTTTGAAGCTACTTGAACAGGAGTATTTAATTTTCCATTATAATTATAGTAAGACTAATGTTGGTTATCTTGCTTGGAATTTCCGCGATCCAGTCGCTTAGGCACTTGATGAATTTATGTCCATATATTCTCATCATTTGGTTGGCCAAAATCTCAGTACTTCGCTCCAAATTTCTAAACTTTTTACTTTTTTTCCGGCAGCTTGTGTCTTTGTCTAGAGAAAGATGGCAGTAATAATGGTGATATCTTTTCGTTCTTCAACACCATCAGAACCTGGATATGATTGGGCATCAAGCACGTCGGTCTCCTGGGAGTTGTTCTTCAGAATTTACTTTTCCAAAAAGAATCCACAGGTTAGTGTTCAGATTCATCAGTGAGAGAGAGAGAAAGAAAGATTGTTCTGTGCAGTTTTGCTTGTGCCTTCTTCACATAGTTTATGGGTATCTAATATTTAGTTTAATTTATAGAAACAAAAATGAATGACAAAAAGATATCAGAAGAATTATGAGCTTCAATGTGGTGATGGTGTGAAATGAAACAAGTAGGGTCATTTTGTGATGATCTATGTAACACAACATGTTTTGAAGAAAAGCATGCATTTGAGTTTATATTTCTACTTTTTTGAATTGTTGTTCTATCATCATCAACTTAGCACTGACGTTCCATTGCTTTTCTCACTGATGAAAGGTAAAGACTTTTTAGTACCCAAAAAGAGAGAAATGAGATCTTTTGCAGGTGATTACCACTTTCCAAGACTCATTGGTTCTTATTATTAAATGTTTAAATTTAATTTAGTTAGGTAGTAAATCTTCAAATTAATTCTTGGAATCCGCGAAGATTCAAATGAAAGTTAAAATTTGAACGTCTTACATTAAAGAAAGTAAAGTAGTACATGTCAATTAGTGTTGAGATATGTTCATTTTAAGTAAAAGCACATGCTTTGATCAAGAGGTGGGAGACTCAAATCCCCCACTGATATATCTCTAACTCAAAAGAAGGCTAAGCTTCACACAATCACCCACCTACGACTAACGATCACAACAACGCTCATTTTTCGATAGTTTCAAAGTCATCTCCTTATTGAGCGAAAAGGGACAATTCTATTCGTAACAAAGCTACAAAGCTAAAAAGTGGGATTCTAAAACATATGAACTAGATATCCTAGAAAGACAAGGAATTAGCGCACGCCAGGTCCCAACCCACCATGAACAATGAACAGTTCTACCACCGCCCCCCACAACACTTCAATCCTATTCCTAAGTTGGAGCAATCATAATTCACATACAAACTAAAAGAGAAAAAGGAAAGAAAAAGGCAGTGGCAGTGGCAGTGGAAATTGCAGGCTTTAGCATCTGTGTCTTCTTGTCTTCCCCAGCAGCTGCACCTTGTTCCTTTGATTATCATTAAAGCCTGCTAACAATGTTGGCCCACCCCCCACAACCCAACAAAATAAACTCAATTCCTTTCCCTCCATATAAACAGAGCACAAATTTGAGAGTTCAACTTCAAACCCAGCTGATTTTTGCATCATCAAATATGTGGAGGGCAGAAGAAAGTTACAGAGAATCAAAGCAAGCAGAGGTTGAAGATAAGGATTCTATAGGCACGGCTCTGTTATCAGCAGGAACAGCATTGTTAATGGCAGCTTGTTTGAAGAGAGCTGTGGTTCTGTTCTTGGTTGAACAATGGCGGATCTGGGTGTTCCTTCTCTTAAATCTCATCCTCGTAGCAATTTTCTTCACTTCAAGTCCTTCAAGTTACAGCGAAAGCCAAACCCAAGAGGCCAATGCTAAAATAAAGCAGAAAAAGATCGAAAACAGAGAGTGCAAGGAGGCTGAGAAGGTAGAAAAGGTTGAGATCAAACATCAAGAGAGGGAAAAAGAAGAAGAAGAAGAAGAACTCCAAGAAGAAGAAGAAGAACAAGAACAAGAACAAGAGGAAATTGGGTTGTCGAAAGAGGAATTGAATGAGAGAGTGGAAGCTTTCATTGTGATGTTCAAGAAGCAATTGATTTCCGATGCAAGAAGAGGGGGAAACAGGCGCACCCCATTGAGCTACAATCCTCAATAGCCATAGCCAAACCCAAATTCTTTTATCCAAGATTTTTGGGAGGGTGAAGGTGAGGACTGTTTGGTGAGTTTCAAGAGCTTCAAAAATGTAATCTTTGAAGCATAATGTTATTATTTTTGTATGTCCCAAGATATTAACACTCTCAATTAGCCCAAAATCAGACTTTTAAATATTTACTCATAACTTTATATTAGTTCTTACATTATGTTATAAATTTAGTTGCTAACTTATTGAAGGTGGTAGCTATTGTATTACCACCTCCCCATCCTTCTTTCTATCATCTTCTTCCTTCATCCATAACGAGCTCTGGGATACCACATTGGTGAGAGAGAGAGGAACAAATCATTCATTATAAGAATGTGGAAACTTCTCCCTAACAAACACATTTTAAAACGGTGAGGTTGACGTCGATATATAACGAGCCAAAGTGGATAATATCAACTAGCGGTGGGATTGTGCTGTTACACGAGCAGAGTTGTATCTTCTTCCTTTGACAATGTGCGACGACTAGTAACAATATGAAACTCATGAAAAAAATGATAACAATATTTAGTTTTGAGAAAGTCGATCAAATTTTAATTTTCCTAAAATTTTTTAGGTCAGAATTTAAATAATGTAACTTAACATATAATTTTTATTTTACTCACACTTATTATACTAAAAAATAAAATAAAATAAAAAATTGGAAATTTAGGACCAAATATTCAATATAGATCCATTTAATAATTTAACCTAATTGTTAAAAATTCTTCTCCATCTCTTTCCAAGAGAGATGGATGATGGCTGTAAAGTGAAGCCACAGAATTTGAGGGGCTTTTACGTAATATCAGCAATTTATTAACGCGAATGCCACGCTGGCAATCGTTTTTCTGTTGGTTTCCTACTAGTTTCCCACACCAGAGTCTCCTCCACTTCTTCTTCATCTTCCAACAGAAAATCCAACCCTAGAGGGAGAAATTTCGTTCTCTAACAGATTCTTGTATTCCTCTTCAGCAATTTAATTTAACGAGAACGATGAAGGATTAGGATGAAACTATTTGGATTCTGTTCAAGGAATTTGAGAAATGTGTGTGCCGAAAACGAGAGAGTTGATGTGGAGTACCTGATTTTGGTGAATCCGTCAAATCTACTGTGGGATTGATTTTGCAGAAGTGATTCTGTGATCTCGTTACATTGGAATTTCTGTTTGATCGGATTCAACTTTGAAAATCTGAAGTCCGTTCTTTAAGAATCGAGGCAGTGTTTTGTCTTCGGAATCCGTGAATGGTTTCGAATCCAGATCTCGTGTTATATGCCTGCATTGCAAGTCGAACTGTAATCCTTGCTGAATTCACGAGAGAGTTGAATCTCGATGACTTGGCTTTCAGATGCATCGAGAAGGCCCCTCCACATCACTCCATCTTCTCCCATACCGTGAGAAAGAGAGTGTACATGTTTTTGATCGAAGGTCCCTTCGTTTATTTCGGAATCTTCCATGAAGACCTTTACAAATCGGAGATTTGTGGTTTCTTAAACCGATTAAGGTGTGTTTTCGAGGAGTTCCTCGAAACCGAATCGTTCAAGGGTTTCGAGAACTTCACTTCGTACTGCTTTCAATCGCAGTTCGATTCGACTTTCCGGCATCTCCTTGGGTTGAATCTCAACAACACATCGTACAGCGTATCGAAGGAGGCTCAGAGGTCAAGCTTGGATTCAAGTAAAAGAAAGCAGATACCGCTGATTTCGAAGTTCTCGAATCCCAGCAGCCTAATGAAGAAGAAGAAGAAGAAGAAGGTAGTTGGGGATGCTAATGAAGAAGCAGGGAAGTATGCAATGGTTGATTCTGCGGATCTGAATGACCATAATAATGGTTTGTGTAGTAGAGATAGTTCATTGCTGAAGCAGAAGAATGGTTCCCATATGATTGAGCGTCAGAAAGTTAAGCAAATATGGCGGAAACATGTATGGGTTGTTTTGTCCATCGATTTGTTCGTATGTCTGGTTTTGTTCGCCATATGGCTTTGGGTTTGCAGAGGATTTCGGTGCATTGAAAGTTGAAATTGATGGGGTTTCAATCCTTCATTGGCAGAAATGGCCATCTGGAAAACAGGGTTGTAAACACCATGTATGATTCATGCAAGCTTCAAGCTCGTATATTTTACTTTGCTTTGCTGGTAATCTTTCTGGGTTTCTTGATTTTTGTTTCTTTTCTATGCATTGTGTATGATTCTCAGAAACTGCCAATTCAATGGAGTTGAGTTCTATCCTTCAAACCTTCAATTAGAACATGAAATTAGGATTTAGTCAACGAAGATATCATCTAAGCTTGCTTGCTTGCAAACATTAAATTACACATCAGTTACAAATTTGTCCTGATCTTGAAAAATAAAACATCTCCCATTCGTGTTAGAGCTAGTTCATTAAGAGTTCACCTATTCACATGTCATTATCACATTAACTTCAAGGGCAGAAAGGTCATTCTAACATTAGGTTCAGGGGCATTTTAGGAATGAGCTATGATGGGAAGAAGCCTTGCAATGAATGAAGAGCTTATCTGATTCTGCAGATCAACCGTGGAGCTGTTAAAGGTATCAAACATATTCACCAAAAATGAAAATAAAAGTTAGTTACCAAACTTACTGTTAAAATAGTACAATCTGGGCTGGCAGATTCTAAAATAATAGGATTCCAAATGCCTGGTAGTAAATTGCTTAAACATGATCGAATGGTAGCATGGTACAAGAGTTATTATCATCCAACCTACAGTAAGAAACACTCAAACTACACACGCTGTACTTTCAACCTCACACAAACAAGGAATCCGTTACATGTACGTGTATAATCAGATCCCAGATTCATCAAACTTTAGCAAAATGTCTGTTTACAGCTCGTCCTACCCACAGGGAGTTAGCTTCTTATTGCCTGCACCACGAGGATTTTCGTCTTTCCAGTCGTCCCATGCCCTTGCCTTCTCCTGAGCAGCATCATCATCTTCGTCTTCATCACCTTCACTGGGTCCAGGCTTTCGATTGTCGTCCTTATGCCATGAAGAGTTTGCTTCTTCTATGAACTTCGCAGTTCTCTCTTGCCATTTGTTCATCATTTCCATCTCTTTCAGCCCAGCCTCCTCGATGCTCATGGTTGGCAACCTTCCAGGGAAAGTTCAACTCATAAATTAAGGAATCTATGCATATCCTACGACTGCACAATGTTCATTTTCCTACCCAACACTTCAAACTTTAATTTCAGAGGCTATTTAGATTATTATTCCTCAAAATATAACACAACAGGAAAGAAGACCTCAACATTTTCCTCCTTAAACAGTAGACAGAGTACGAGTATAGTAAACCTAATCAGACTGACTGTATAACAAACAGCCCAAATACATACCTAAAGCCAGGTTGGAAAACCTGGGCAGCCAACCTCTCCCGCTCACTCGTAAGGGGTCCATTTACAAGGCTAGCTGGTCCAAATATGAGAGGCTGATGTTTGTGTTCATGTGCTTGAGAGACATTTGCTCTCCCTTCTAGTACATCCTGAGCAAAAGTTGCACAAGTGATTGGTGGCGCTGGTTTCGTATATCGAGCTCTCACAACACCATCACGATGCCAAGCTTCTGCTCTTTTCATACGATCATCAAGAATCTCTCTAGAGAAGTTTTTGTCGCCATCCTGACATATATAGCAAAGAACAAATGCTCTTAGATCTCTAATTCAACCACGTATTTTATGCAGCTCTGTGAATGAACTGCCTGACTAGTTAGCCAAACACTTCCATGACAAAAACTTTTTTTTTTTTTCCTACACTCTAATTCCCAAGTCCATAGAAACATGAAGAGAATACATTAATTTGACACATCATATCACCAATTAACGACAGAATGAATGCACAGAACAATGCATGACACCCCTTGAACATGCATCCACGAAGTTTGGAGTATGGCTTCAAACCTTTTCTTGTTTTTCCTTAATGGAAGAGAGCATCTCTTCTTCCTTCTTCAGCATCTCTAGTAGATCAAAAGCCTGAATATATAGCATTCCGTGTAAATTTGAGTACAATCCTAGAGGGTAACAACCTGAAGATGTTAAATAATTCTGCATAACTGACCTTGCAGATTGCCAGAGTGATGGTTGTAAGCCAAGCCTGCAGCAAAGAGAATGCAACATAGTGAACGACTGACGAAAACATACAAAATTATATCAACCCCCCATCAAACACTGCCCAAAGTCTAACTGCACCACTCTCTGGGTGAAGAATATTTCATGCGTAAGACATGTTGAAGTTTCACTGAGTTTGACAGATTTCTTTCTTTACATAGTGGAATAACAGAAACAGAAAGGATTTTTCAAGAGATATGATCAGGATGCAGCAAAGGTTGAGAAGGTAAATGAACCACATCACCATCTGTCTTCTTCTTTTTAGGGAAAACATGAACTATCTTGAACAACAGATGAGAGGCCACATTGTCTTGCTCTTTGTTACAATTTCCATTAGTTTGTTTAACTAAATTTGAAATATCTCATGGCTTAAAACAGGTAATGTGATAGAAAACAAAGGGAAATGAGATATTACTGCTAATATAATCTAGACAACTAACCTCACGCTCTTCCTCTCCATCATCGTCCAGCATATCCTCCTCTCCTGCCTCTATGGGAGCAGACAATGCAGATGCTTTGCTTGAACGACCACGGCGCTCTTTTCGCTCCTTTATCTCAAGTAACTTAGATTCAGCAGCCTTTTGACGTTTGAACCGTGCAATCTAGAAACAAAATTTAAAAAATAAGTGCAAGAATGAAACTGCAATAGCATCCACAAATTACATCTAATACTATGCAAGAAATGGATAATTTAAAATCTGTGTCATGACATCAAAACTTGATCACCCCGTTATATCTGCAAGTGGATTTCATTCATAGATGCGAGTATACTTACTTTACGAGCCCTTTTATCTGCAAGTGAATTTCCTTCAGTAGATGTTTCAAGTTCCTCTTTTGGCACCAGTTCCATAGTTTCACAAAATGATATGAACTCCTATAGAAATGGCCAATTCAAATTTCAATAAGTTAACAATGAAGCCTTGAGATAATAGATTAAATTTCATCATTCAATTGCACATAATTCATTTTTCCCTGAAATATAAACTTCCATTA